TCCGGTCCAAACCAGGAGCATTTCACCCCTGATGTACGTGTATGTATATGTTTAAGTATCTATATGTGTGTGTGTGTTTGTGTATATGTGTGTATGTTTAGAAGTCCTCATAATGCTTACAGCAAGAACTGAATTCTGAGGTTTAAAAGACTCCCCGTGAACAAAAATGTTACACACACACACACACAAATGTAAATTTTTCAATTGGGACGTATTATAAATCTCGATGTTTGAATTACGAAGTCGGCCTAAAAAGCCAGCATTCTTTGCAGCTGGGGATACGGTCCTATGTTCCATCGTTAATAATATTAATGCATCTGCTTAAAACGATTGAATTCTTTGTTTAAGGGAGGTGAATTGGTTCCAAATGGAAACAATTTTCCCGGGGATGGTTCAAGTGGCATAGGAACACAGTTTTTTTTTTCCCATTTTTTCTTTTTATATATCATTTGCACAGAGGACATACTATGTTTGATCTTATTCAATTCGACCCAGCCTCGAGTAATTAAGCCGGATGTTTTTAATTAAATCAAAGGAGGTTATGAATTGAATCCCCTTTAATGCAATTAAAGCAGAAGAGCGTGAGACGCATACAAAAGAATATTTGGAGATGGTTTTTTTTTGGAAATGAAGAAATCTCACGGCTGTCTTTACTCAGCATAATAAGACATGAAAAGTGGCTTTTAAAAACACGGAGCACTCCAGAAATTGATAATCCCAGTTGCATAAGAGTGTAAATTGACCCCAAAAGCCCCTTTAGATCACATTGTTTTCACATTGTGGTTTAAAGCTGGCTTCTGGTTCTAGTTTGTTTGGGGGGGGGCAAGTTAACCACAAGGGCAGATGGATTCAATATAGCTTCATGCTTTAATTAACTTTCTCATCAATAATAATAACAATAACAACAACAACAACAACAATAATAATAATACCGTTTCCCCCAAAATAAGACATCCCCTGATAATAAGCCCAATCGGGCTTTTGAGTGCATGCGCTAAAATAAGCCTCCCCCCGAAAATAAGCCCTTTCCGAAAATATTTAAATGCAGAACTGGAAATCAGGTAAGATGGCAAGAGGAGCCCCATCTTGCTCCACGCATCCCAAAATAACGACCTCCCTGAAAATAAGGCCAAGCGTTTATTTCAGGGTTCAAAAAAAATATAAGACAGGGTCTTATTTTCAGGGAAACGCGGTAATAACAATAACTTGTAACTTGACAGATATTGTAAGAAAACAATATCTGTCCCCAATTATAAATAAATTTCCCCACTGGAATGTAAGGCATAAATTATCATTTCTATTGAAGGCAGACTCTCCTCCCCTGGTAAGGGCTATCACTCGATATCTTAAAAGGATGACAGCAATACGAGCCAGTTACATCGAAAAGAATTTCATTGATTGTAAGAAAGATGAGCTGAGTTAGAGAGGAGCTATCTTATTTGGGATATCTAGTTTTGGAAATCTAGTTATTGAACTTCGATATTGTTAAATTTTAAATGTCATATATATTTTTAGACTGTTATTTCTGTAACTGTTTATTTTATCTTTTTTGTTTTTTTTTGAAAAGGCCTTCGGGCTATTCAATAAAAGAATTACACTAAATTACAATAACTTTATTGTCATTGTACATGTATACACAGTATATCCATACAATGAAATTCACTTATTTTTATTTATTTATTTATTTTATTTTATTTCTATACCGCCCTACTCCCGAAGGACTCAGGGCGGTGCACAGCCAAACAATAAAACACATACATACAAAATTTAAAAGTAGAATAAAATCAAATTAAATAATTTTGGCCCCGACAAATTTAAAACCCCAAACTTTTTAAAACCAATTTTAAAATTGAATGTATAAAATATTAAAAGATATTTAAAAATTAAAAATCTTTTATAAAAGACCAAATCCAACATACCCAAAGACTAAATCCAACACACATAACAATCCCCAAACACACCCCCACCCACCAAAAATTCCCCACCCCTAAACCCCCCATGCTGTCCAACATCTTACTGATGGTGGCCCTTTAGTTCAATGTTGAGTGCAATTATAGCTCTGGGATCAAAACTATTCAGAAAACGTGCAGTCCGAGTTTTCATTGTTCTGTATCTTCTGCCAGAAGGCAACAGTCCAAAAAGATTGTAAGCAGGATGGGAAGAGTCTCTGAGAATGTTATGCAACTTTCTCAAACAGCAAGATTCGAAGATGTCATCCAGGGCTGGTAGCTGGAGTCCGATGATATTCTGGGCAGTTTTAATGATTCTCTGTAGAGCTTTTTTGTCCGCTGCAGAGCTGCTCCCATACCATGCAAGAATGCCGTATGTCAGGACACTCTCAATGGTGCTGCGGTAGTAGGACAGAAGTAGATGCTGAGATAGGTTTATCTTCCTGAGCATTCTCAGGAAGTACAGCTTCTTCTTTGCCTTCTTCACAAGCACTCATTTCCCCATAGCTGAATTTGTTGGTTGTGTCTGTGTGTGTCTGTGTGTGTTCCAGGTGGCGGAAATGCACGGGGAACTCATCGAATTCAACGAACGGCTCCATCGTGCCTTGATGGCCAAAGAAGCCCTCGTGACGCAGATGAGGCAAGAACTGATCGATCTGAGAGGACCGGTAAGCATTTCCTTTGTCTAAATTCGCCAGTTGCGTCCCTTTCTGGATCGGGACTCGTTAAAAACGGTCACTCATGCCCTCGTCACTTCACGCCTGGACTACTGTAATGCTCTCTACATGGGGCTCCCCTTGAGGAGCACCCGGAGGCTCCAGCTGGTCCAGAATGCGGCCGCGCGGGTAGTTATGGGAGCAGCATGGCGCTCCCATGTGGCTCCCCTCCTGCGCGAGCTGCACTGGCTCCCTGTGGTCTTCCGGGTGTGCTTCAAGGTCTTAGTTACCACCTTTAGAGCGCTCCATGGCTTAGGACCGGGGTACTTACGAGACCGCTTTCTGCCACCAAAAGCCTCTCACCGCCCAGTACGCTCCCATAGAGAGGGGCTTCTCAGGGTGCCGTCAGCCAAACAATATCGACTGGCGGCCCCCAGGGGGAGAGCCTTTTCTGTGAGGGCACCCACCATCTGGAACGAGCTCCCCCCAGAGATACAGAAGATTCCGGATCTGCGCACTTTCCGCCGTGCCCTCAAAACATTCCTGTTTCAGCAGGCCGGCCTGGCCTAACTTTCCCTTTATATTGCTTTTTGATTTTATTTTAAACTGGGATGTCTTGAATTATCTAGGACCAGAGTGTTTAGTATATTTTAATTGGTTTACTTTTTTTTTTTAAATTAACGTTTGTATTACATGTATTTTTATCGTTCGCTGTTCACCACCCTGAGTCCCTTAGGAATAGGGCGGTATATAAATTTAATAAATAAATAAATAATAAATAATCACCATCCCTCTCATCCTGGACCAGTGATCGGCAAACCACGGCTCGCGAGCCACATGCGGCTCTTTGGCCTCTTGAGTGTGGCTCTTTCCACACTCGTGATGCCCTGGCCAGCTGTGGCTGAGCCGGGAGCGTGCACACGCGCAGAGAGACCCTCCTCAAGCGAGCGCCGAAGCTCAGGAAAGGTGCGCGCAGGGTGAGCAGCGGCTTGCTTAAGGAGGGTCTCCCCACGTGTGCGCATGCTCCTGGCTCAGCCACAGCCGGCCAGGGCATCACGAGAGTGGGAGGAGGAGGAGAGTGCAGGAGAGAAGCTGCCTTCGCGCCACATTTGCACGTAAGGCAGCCTTTGCTTCCTGCCGCTTCAGGCTGGGGTTCGCACCCTCCGCACTCAGCCGAAGAGCTGCTGCGGGTGGGGGATGAAACAGCAAGGCGATGGCCCTCCATGAAACGGCGAAGCTATTTGGCTTGCGAATCCTAACGTCCGCTGCAGCCTTATGTTTATCTCGCCCTGAAGATTTTATTCTGAAATTTATAGCCAGCAGGGCTTCAATTAAACTCTTGTCCACCCCAATGTACCGGCAAGGCATGTAATAAAGAATTCTGCCACCAAATTATTTTATACGGCGCCATTATTGGGAAGGACACAGTCCCCTTGGGTCTCATCATCATCCCACAATTACGTCCCTCCCAGAAGCCCCATTTTGCTTCTTCAGAACATCACAATATATAAGCTGGCCGCTGTTCTGCCCCAGCTACGGACCCCAAAGAACGCAGCACACACAAAGTCTGTACAAACTTTAGTTTACTAAATTAAATCAGGGTTTTTTTTTCCAAACAAAGGCTGTTAATTAACTTCCTTAACAGCCTACAAGAATCCAAAGAATAAATAATCGTAACCTTACTATGACTGGCAGAAAACCCAGAAGCAATTTGCAAAGAACGAAGATCAAGACGCGAAGGAGAATGAATGAAGTTGTTCCCTGCAAATTGCTTCAGTCGGCGTTCCTCCTTAAATAGGCTAAGGGAGTGGCCAATTAGCCCCCAAGCCTTACTCTCGAGGAGACCTCCTCCTGAGGAGCCACTCCTGCCTTTTGGCAGCTCTGCGTGCCCTTGCATTGAGAAGAGGCTCCTCCTCTTCTTCCTCTTCACTTAAGGGAGCTTCTGGAGGTTCTGAAGGCCCTGGCTGAATCCCCACCTCTGGCACCACAACTTCTCCAGCCTCCTCATTTTCCGACTCGAGTGCCAGCTGCACAGGCTGCTGGCGCAGCACCACACCAGCCTCCTCGCTGTCCGAATCAGCTACTAGTTGCACAGGCCACGTACGGGCCACAACAGCTGCGCATTCACAAGTCTAGAAAACCGCTTGGGGGGGTCAAGAGAAATGGACGCCTTTTCACATCCCGGTTCATTCCCCCCCCCCCAATTGTTACATCCTGTAATCGGATCCGAATGGTTTAATTCGCAATTTGTTCTGCGCTGCCATTTTATTCCTGGCGCTATGCAGTCAATCCTTGACTTATGCCCATTCGTTCAGTGAACGTTACAACGGCCCCGGGGGAAAAAAAAGGTGACTTATTGCAACATCCTCATTGTCATGTGATTTATGTTGGATGCTTGGCAGCTGACTCATATTTATGACGGTATTGCAGTGTCCTGGGGTCATGCAATCCCCTTTTGCGACCTTCTGACAAGCAAAGTGAATGGGGGGAAAAGGCCCAGATTCACTTATCAACCGGGTGACTAACTTAACAACTGTAGTGATTCATTTAACAACGGTGGCGAGGAAGGTGATAAAATGGAGCGAAACCTGCTTAACAACGGTCTTGCTTTAGCAGTGGAAATTTTGGGCTCCATTGTGGTCGTAAGTCGAGGACTACCTGTATAGAAGCTGTTCAAACATATTGGGTTTGGAACGGGTTCTTTCGTTGGTTAGCATCACTGAGTCATCTGCGATAAGGGACGCATGCTCAGCAGCAGCTTTATATCCACCGCCTCATTCACAATCCTAAACCGCGCCTAAGGTACTTGCGCACAGCACTGAAAATGGAGCATTTAGAAGCTCAGCTGCTTACCTTCCAAGTCAGTAAGTAGAACAGCGAGGGGGGTGGAATCAGCCGTGTTGCGCGATTGAGATGAGCTACAAAGCAGGAAATAAAGGACAGGATAGAGCAGGGGCGGGTGGGCGGGGCCAACTGATCATCGGCGCTACCGGTTCATGCGAACTGGCTGAATACCAGCTCTGCCTTGCACACATACGTTTCCTTCTTAAATCAGAAATGTGCAATTTATCTCGGATGGGTCTTTTGATACTTTCGTTTCACAAAAGCGGAGAGAACTCTTATTTTTGCTTAACCCTTGACGATGAAAGGTGACCTCTCTTCAGTCTGTAAAGTGGCCTATTGTTTTTATTGACATTTTAAAAGCTGGCTTATTTATCTCTTACTGGCATCCAAAGCCAGTAAGAGCAGCGAGGGTTTTTATAAAAGAAAAAGAAAAAAAGAATAACGTCTTTAAAAAAAAATCAAGCTAAACTGAAACGGAAAAGAGGCTTTCAAAATAACCTTTCTGTACCGAATTTGTTCTGCTAAGTGTTGAAATTATACATGCTGTCAGAAATCCATCTCTGTGTGTGTGTGTGTTTGGATGTGTACGTGCATAATGAAAAGGGAGAACAGCAAAACACATAACATTTTACATACTTCGGCTGTGTGCACTCCCTTCATCACGCCCTGAAACTGGCAAACAGGCAGGTAGGTAAGTTTAAGGCTAAAAGCTAAAGGTAAAAATTCCCCTTGCACATATGTTGCTTGTGGCTGCTAAACATTTTTTACGAATTCTGCCTAAACCGCAAACATTTAACTTTCGAGCTGAGGTCAAAGTAAAGGTAAAAGTTCCCCTCGCACATCTGTGCTAGTCGTTCCCGACTCTAGGGGGCGGTGCTCATCTCCGTTTCAAAGCCGAAGAGCCAGCGCTGTCCGGAGACGTCTCCGTGGTCATGTGGCCGGCATGACTCAATGCCAAAGGCGCACGGAACGCTGTTCCCTTCCCACCAAAGGTGGTCCCTATTTTTCTACTTGCATTTTTTACGTGCTTTCGAACGGCTAGGTTGGCAGAAGCTGGGACAAGTCACGGGAGTTCACCCCGTTATGCAGCGCTAGGGATTCGAACCGCTCAACCGCCGACCTTTTGATTGATGTCGAACCCGAAGACCAGCTGGCCGGCGGGAGGTGCACGCGCATTTGTGGCAGATCTGAGCTGGGGCAACGGTGGGCGTGCCCGCAGAGAGGGCTCTGCGTGCCACCTGTGCACGCATGCCATAGGCTCACCATCACAGGTATAAGGTCTCCTGCCTTGAGCAGGGAGTTGGACTAGAAGATCTCCAAGGTCCATTCAAGCCCCATGAGTCTATACAGGGAGTCCTCGATTTACAACAGTTCGTTTAGTGACCACTCAAAGTTACAAACGACACCGAATCGTGTGACCTATGACCGTTGTTCACAGTTACGACCTTTGCAGCGTCCCCATGATCACGTGATCAAAATTTCAGAAACTTGGCAACTGAGTCATATTTATGATGCTTGCAGTGGCCTGGGGTCATCACCTTTTGCAATCTTCTGACCAAACAAAGTCAACAGGGAAGGCAGGTTCACTTAACAACCGGGTTTACTAACTTTTCAACTGCAGCGATTCACTTAACAGCTGACGCAAGAAAGGGGGTAAAATGTCTCACTCAACCACAGAAATTTTGGGCTCAATTGTGGTCGTAAGTCGAGGACAGCCTGTATTTTGTTGGGTGGATATTCTTAATAATTAATGTCGGAATGATTATAACATTACAATTATTAAATACTCTTTGATATTGTGAAACATTAACAATATTTGTTGAAGGCTTGTTTTGGGAACATTGCGTTAACTTGGTGGTTTTGTTTTAATTGCAAGCCATCTTCAGCTTGTCAGTTTTCAGTGGCATATCCGTTAAATGGATACATGCCTCTCTTTTAAGAAATGGAGGCAAATTATTAAATTTAATTAGAGTAGCAATTAAACCAGTTGGGGGCAAGATTTAGTTCTAACGTTGCTGTGTTAGAACTTGTTGAAGGATCTAGTCAGAAGTTTGATCCTAGCGGAATGACTGAGAAAAATAATTTGATTTTATAATTTTCACACTCAAGAGTGAAAGCTTTTAAGGGGACTGTCAACAAAAGCTGAAACGAGCACGTACAATAGCAATCATGGCAGGATCAAGAGGAATAACTGCAATTTTTAAAAATGTTATGCTTGCTTGGAAAAAAAAAAAGTGCATGATTTTATAATAGCTATTAATGTCCAGAAAGCATGTAGATTAAGGCGATCTAACACATCAAGAGAGCCGAAGAAATGTAGTTTTAGCCACAAGTTAAGTGTGCTACATCCTAGGTCACTTGTGTTTTAATCACCCGAGTCATTAATTCTAAAAAGAGTGTGAAGGAAATTCAGAAATCGAAACCATGCTATTGATCACGTTCAGCTAACAAGAAGCAATGGATGGAAACTAATCAAGGAGAGAAGCAACCTAGAACTAAGAAGAAATTTCCTGACAGTGAGAAGAATTAATCAGTGGAACAACAACTCCAGAGGTTGTGAATGCTCCAACACTGGAAATTTTAAAGAAGAGACAACCAATTGTCCGAAATGGTATAGGGTTTCTTACCTGAGCAGGGGGTTGGACTAGAAGACCTCCAAGGTACCTTCCAACCTATTCTATTCTATTCTATTCTATTCTATTCTATTCTATTCTATTCTATTCTATTCTATTCTATTCTATTCTATTTATAGTAAAGAGCCTTGGTGGCGCAGCAGACTAAAGTGCTGTTAACTAGCACCAGCTGCCTGCAATTACTCCAAGTTCGAATCTCACCAGGCTCAAGGTTGACTCAGCCTTCCATCCTTTCGAGGTAGGTAAAATGAGGACCCGGATTGTGGGGGCAATAAACTGACTTTGTATAAAAAAAAGAACACTGCTTAGGGGGGGGCAAAAAAGCCCTACTAAGCAGGTATATACAAAAGTATGAAGGCTATTGCTTAACGCATTGTAAGCCGCCCTGAGTCTCCGGAGAAGGGCGGCATATAAATCGAACCAATAAATAAATAAACAAATATTCCTATTCTGCATTTCCATTCCATTCCATTCCAATGTTCCGTTCTGTTCTACTCTATTTTATTGTAATATTCTGTTCTGTTCTATTCCTATTCTATTCTATTCTGCATTTCCATTCCATTCCAATGTTCTGTTGTACCCTACCCTACCCTACCCTACCCTACCCTACCTACTCCTACTCCTACTCCTACTCCTACTTCTGTTCTGTTCTGTTCTGTTCTATTCTATTCTATTCTATTCTATTCTATTCTATTCTATTCTATTCTATTCTATTCTATTCTATTCTATTCTATTCTATTCTATTTTCTATTCTATTCTATTCTTTTTTTTTTAAATAATTTTTATTGAATATAAATATTAAAAAAGACATACGTAACATATACACAACGAACATTTATACAACATAACACAAAAAGAATATAATTTCTTCTTAAGCATTTTTTCAGAGTGACGTTCTACAATTCTACTTATAATATATTCCTTCACCTTTCTGTAATCTAATAATATTTTTATTACATATATATGTATCAATCGGTAATATATCCCCTATATTTTTTGTGTATTTCTAATTTTTAACCAATTATACCAACTATTCCATATTTTATAATAGTCTGATTCTTCTTTTTCTTGTAATTCTTTGGTTAACCTATCCATTTCAGCGCATTCTAAAATTTTCCCTATTACTTCTGTTTCACTTGGTATTTTTTCTTGTTTCCAATTTCTTGCGTAGATTATTCTTGCAGCAGTTAATATGTGAATTGTAAGATATTTAATATCCTTAGGGTATGATTTGTTAAATATTCCTAATAAAAATGTTTCTGGTTCTTTTTCAATCTGTGTTTTTGTTATTTGTTCCAACCATTTTTTGATGTTAGACCAAAATTTCTTTGCTGCCGGGCATGTCCACCATAAATGATAGAAAGTCCCTTGTGCCTTTTTGCACTTCCAACAAATTGGGCTATTTTTAGGTTGTATTTTTGCCAATCTGGTTGGAGACATATGCCACTGATAAATATTCTATTCTATTCTATTCTATCTATTCTATTCTATTCTATTCTATTCTATCTATTCTATTCTATTCTATTCTATCTATTCTATTCTATTCTATTTTCTATTCTATTCTATTCTATTCTATTCTATTCTATTCTATTCTATTCTATTCTATTCTATTCTATTCTATTCTATTCTATTTTCTATTCTTATTTCATTGACCACCCTAAATTTAAACTCCATTTCTTTAAGGCTGACATGTTTTGAATCTTACCGTAGCGTTTGTGCTGCTTGCAATTATATGGTCAGCTCTCATGCTCTCATGCTTTTGAAAGCTCTTGAGGATTCTATTTTTTTTTTAAAAAAAAAGAAAGTGTTTGCCAAGAGGTAGGGAATAATCTATAAAAAAGCCATGCCATGCTGAGACTTCTATTTAAATATCATCCCCTGGGAATGATAGGACACAGGCTGTTGGATTTAGGAATTAATTTTGGGAAGTTTGCTGTGGGTTGCCTGCTTGCCGCACTTGCCTGCTCTTTAAGACAATAGGTTAAGTAGACCCAGCGTTTAATGATATTTTTTCCTTCCTTCCTGTTATTGCCTAGGTTCCCGGAGATCTCAGTCAAACCTCTGAAGATCAAAGCCTCTCAGATTTTGAAATGTAAGTTGTTTGAAAGTTTGATGCGTTTTATCTCATTCCCGCAACAACTTCAAAAGGGAATGATTTCGAAGTGAAATGATTCATAATTCAGGATTCTTTCTGTTTTGGGGCATGTAGTCCCCATCTTGTAACATAACCATCGCGTTCTTGATTTTGGTTCCTTATTCCAAGTGCTTTGATTATCGGTAGCATCAGTGGAATCTGGCTTATGGCCTGTTTGTTACTTCCGTGCAAGATTGTATGTGCTGATTTATTTATTTATTTATTTATTTATTTATTTATTTATTTATTTATTTTTGTCATCCAGATCAAACCGAGCACTTATAAACGTCTGGATCCCTTCAGTCTTTCTCCGTGGGAAAGCAGCAAATGCATTTCATGTTTATCAAGTAAGCGTTCTGTTCAGCGAGGGTACATTGGATGCAGTGGTGGGATTCAAAATTCTTTACTACCGGTTCTGTGGGTGTGGCTTGGTGGGCGTGGCTTGGCTTGGCGGGCGTGGCAAGGGAAGGATACTGCAAAATCTCCATTCCTCCATTCCTCCATTCCTTCCCCATTCCAGGGGAAGGATACTGCAAAATCCCCATTTCCTCCCCACTCCACGGGAAGGATACTGCAAAATCTCCATTCCCTCCCCACTCCACGGGAAGGATACTGCCAAATCCCCATTCCCTCCCCACTCCAGGAGAAGGATACTGCCAAATCCCCATTCCCTCCCGATCAGCTGAGACTCGGGAGGCAGAGAATAGATGGAGGTGGGACCAGTCAGATGTGGTATTTACCGGTTCTCCGAACTACTCAAAATTTCCGCTACCGGTTCTCCAGAACTGGTCAGAACCTGCTGAAACCCACCTCTGATTGGATGACTGTCACTATCCTAGCTTCGACATCTCGAAGAAGCCACAGAGTTCATATGGTTGCAATTGTCTTCAACTTCCATGTGTGGCTTTATGTACAGGTAGTCCTCAACTTATAACCATTCATTAGGGACTGTTCAAACTTACGACAGCATTGAAAAAAAGTGACTTAATGGCCAGTTTTCACACTTAAAACCGTGGTCATTGTAATCAAAATTTTGAATGCTTGGCAACCGGCTCCTATTTATGACGGTTGCAGTATCCCGGGATCACGTGATCACCTTTTACGACCTTCTGACAAGCGAAGTCCATGGAGGAAGCCAGATTCACTTAACAACTGTGTTACAAACTGCAGTCATTCACTTTAAAACTGTGCCAAGAAAGGATGCAAAATGGGGCAAAACTCACTTTAACAAGTGTCTCGCTTAGCAACAGAAGTTTTGGGCTCAGTTGTGGTTGTCAACTGAGGATTACCTTTATGTGTGTAGGTGTACGTAGCCATTTCTGAAAGATCCAAAAGATAATTGTATTTCAAAGGACTTTGAAATACAATTGTATTTCAAATCCACAGTGTAATTATTGGCTGACCATTAAGGTAAAGGTAAAAGTTCCCTTCGCACATATGTGCTAGTCATTCCCGACTCTAGGGGGCGGTGCTCATCTCCGTTTCAAAGCCGAAGAGCCAGCGCTGTCCGAAGACGTCTCCGTGGTCATGTGGCCGGCATAACTCAACATCAAAGGTGCATGGAACGCTGTTCCCTTCCCACCAAAGGTGGTCCCTATTTTTCTACTTGCATTTTTTACGTGCTTTCGAACTGCTAGGTTGGCAGAAGCTGGGACAAGTAACGGGAGCTCACCCATTACGCGGCACTAGGGATTCAAACCGCTGAACTGCCGACCTTTCGATTGACAAACTCAGCATCTTAGCCCCTAAGCCACCGTGTCCCTTGGCCGACCATTAGTTATGTCATATTACTATATCATCTGTGTTTTTGCTGCATTGCGCACCACCCAGTACTAAAAATTGGGATTGTAGACAAAAACTGCAAAATAGCCATTAAATAATTTTGTTCCCCCATTTGTATTAGGAAGATAATCTGATTAGATAAACTCAAGGTCATGCCACCCCATTAGAAACATTTCTTCATCTCATTATTTTTCATCGCTGTAAAATTCCTTCTGGTCATGTTTACTTAACTACATGCAAAATCAACAGAGATGAAACATTCTGGAAAACGCCAGAATATTCTAGTTTCTTTCCAGAATGCTTCAGTGTGTTGTCTGTCGTTTTTGAGAAGAAAATCTAAAACTGGAAGACATTTATGGTGTCCTGAAACGGCCCAATTAGAGCAGGCTGTTGGAAGATTTGCTTCTGGAACCCACCCCCCCCCCCCCCGCAAAAAAACCCTGTCAAAATACCCCAGGTAAATCTGATCACAATGTCCCAAAAGAAAAATGGAACAATAGTGTTGTTTTTTTTTTTTAACATCTCCACTGTTTGTTTGTTTTTTTTGAGCTCGCTTTATTGTTGGAAGTGCAGGAAGGTGGATAATCGATAATTCTCGTGTTGTTCCCTGTTATACATGTTTCTATTGCTTTGCAATTCACTGATTAAGTACGCTTCCATGTCCAGGATAAAAAATACGGGTGACGGGGTTTTTTTTCCCCCTCTGACAACTTCCTTTGGGATTCAGTGGGATTTTGATGAAACCAGAGATGCTGTTAGGCAGGGGCATCGAAAGGCAACACACATTTAAAAAACAGCAACAGCAAAACAAAAAGGTAAAGGTAAAAGGTAAAGGTTCCCCTCGCACATATGTGCTAGTCGTTCCCGACTCTAGGGGGCAGTGCTCATCTCCGTTTCAAAGCCGAAGAGCCAGCGCTGTCCGAAGACGTCTCCATGGTCATGTGGCCGGCATGACTCAACGCCAAAGGTGCACAGAACACTGTTCTCTTCCCACCAAAGGTGGTCCCTATTTTTCTACTTGCATTTTTTACGTGCTTTCGAACTGCTAGGTTGGCAGGAGCTGGGACAAGTAATGGGAGCTCACCCTGTTACCCGGCGCTAGGGATTCGAACCGCTGAACTGCCGACCTTTCGATCGACAAGCTCAGCGCCTTAGTCACTGAGCCTCCGCGGCACTTAATAAAACAAAACTGGGCTTTAAATGTAGGTAGTCCTCGACTTGTGACCAGAGTTAGGGCCAGAATTTCCATGGCTACGCACAATAGTTGTTAAACGAATCCCACCTGGTTTTACATCTATGGGGGGGGGGTGTTAATCGAATCACTGCAGTTAAGTTAACGACATGGTCGTTAAGCGAATCTGGCTTCCCCCCCCATTGACTTGGCTTATTGGAAGCTGGCTGGGAAGTTCGCCTGTGGCAGTCCCGTAACTCAAGGACGCTGCCACCGTCATGGATACCTACAGTTGATCCTGTGACTGTCGGGATGCCGCAGTGATTGCTAAGTATGAGGAGTCGGGTTTTTTCCTCTCCCAGCGCTGTGATAACTTTGAAAAAGGAAAGCCTCTTCCAGCCACCTTCTATTTGTCATTTATTTTTTTCCTCTCACATTTAAACCAAAATACTTTGCTCTGGTAGTTAAGCAGGAAAAACATATGTGCCAGCATATTCCATTGCGTAGCAATTATCTTCTTTTAATGAGGCAAGAACGCATTTCGTATTTGAGACTTGGCAAGCTGTCATCCTCGGGTCACCGATAAGAGAGGGGAAATGTTTGCTTCCTTTTCCTCGTGCATGTTCCCACATTGCTTGTCTACGGGAATGACAGTGTGCAAATTGTTTTGCAAGTACTTGGAGATAAGCTGACTTTAAACCCAGGGAAGACACTCGGCATCTTCAAGCTCTTGCTTTGACCCAAACATCAAAGTCATCCACTGGTCTTCCCGCCAGAAGATTATCAGCTGATACTTAAGTCTGCCATTTCTTTGTTGCTCTGAAATTGGATGTATTAACTGGAAGGATTGTCCAGAGTATTAAAACTGAACATGGTTGGGTTCCTTGGCTTTGATTTAGTGCATTGGCTAGGCCAAGTCATTATCATCTGTAAACAATGATTGAAGGTCGTTTATGTGTCTAGGCGTTCAATAAATCTTGGCTTGGTTGATATCTAAATTCAGGTAATACGGATCATCTTTCTATATGCCCGTGATGGCGAACCTATGGCACGCTTGTCACAGGTGGCACACGGAGCCATATTGGTGGGCACGCGAGCATTGCCCTAGCTCAGCTCTGGCGAGCATGTGTGCGCCGGCCAGCTGATCTTTGTGCCTTCAAAGCCCACCAGAAGTCGGGAAACAGGCTGTTTCCGGCCTCTGGAGAGCCTCTGATGGGGTGGGGAAGGCCGCTTTCGTCCTCCCCGGGCTCCTAGAAAGGCTCTGGAGCCTGGGGAGAGCGAAAAACGGGCCTTCCGGTCCCACCATGCCATCACGTGCCAAAAGCGGGAGCGGGGGGTGGTTGTGCATGCATGCGTTGGGGGGTGGGGTGCATTGAGTTATGGGTGTGGGCATGCGTGCATGAGCCCGCTCCCACTCCCCACACATTTGGCACGTGACGGCACAAAGGTTAGGCATCACTGGTCTAGGCCAAGCCATTATCATCTGTAAACAATGATTGAAGGTTGTTTATGTGTGTAGGCGTTCAATAAATCTTGGCTTGGTTGATATATCTAAATTCAGGTAATACGGATCATCTTTCTATCTGCCATGTGGCCTTGACTCTGGTTTATACGTTGCCTGTGATCATTAAGCTATGATCTGCTTAATTATGATTTGCGAAGGAAGATAGAATTGACTCAGTTCTCCAAACGCTTAAGTCATAACTCGGAGTTTTAAAAGTTACAGTGGCTAAGTTCTACAGCCCAATAAGCCCAAATCAAAGAAATCATATGTTGGCTCGGTGACATACAAACCATTACGGACCGATAGCCTGGTGTCATCATCTCTGTATCTTTGGATGTTGGATTTTTTTCCCGATCCAATATTTGCTCTTGCTTCATGTCTGTTTCTGTTGTTCCTAGTGACTGGCCATTAAGAACATTTCTTGGACTTGTTTTGCGGCGAATCAAGGTTTTTATTGAAAGTTCTTAGAGAGACACTTCGAAGTTTCAATTTACAACTAACCTCTAGGTGGTGATAGCTACCAGAAGCCTACTTACTGTTTTGGCAGGAACCAAATAATTCTTGTGGACATATCTGTGTTTACAGTCTCATTTGCTTCTGAGTCAGGTCTCACCTCCTCCGCAAATCTTCCACAGACACTATAGTAAATTTAATAGTCCCCTTCAGTGGGCAGGTGTTGACATATCAAACATTGATAAATTATTGGGAACATAGACGCTCTTTGTAATATTGTTTGAGGGAGGATTTTATACAGTAACTGTTACAGTAGAGCTACGTTAGGAAGATATACATTTTTTTTTTTTTTTTACAAATGTACATGTAGCGCAGATGGGAATAATTCCTGATATCAATGCTAAATTTCCTCTAACCAGCATAGGTGAATAAGTTAC